CCCCAAAACCCCAAAACCCCATAAAGTGATATTTTGTAAATATGATATAAAACATTAATAATGATTACCAAAAATTTTATTAGTCTAAACATACTTTCCTTTTCATTTTTCTTGCTTTTTGTTTCTTTTAGTGCAGCTGCATTATTAGCTCCACAAATAATGAGAAATCTGGGTTATTAGGGATTAGGATTTTACAGTGTTGCTACAATTTATTTATTCCTTGGATTAGGTAGCTTTATATCATCAGGTATTGTTGAAAAATTTGGGAGTAGATCTGCTCTGACTATTGGAGGATTACAGTATGCATTCTGGGTAATATGCTATCTCTTTCCTACATTTGCTGACAAGTCAGAAAACAAAGAAGAACATTTCGTGTTTTCTAAAGGTTTTATCCTTTTTCTATCATTGCTATCATCTATAATGATTGGACTTGGAGCTAGTATTATATGGGTAGGATAAGGGCGTTATGTGACTGAATGCAGTACTCCAGAAAATAAAGGACTCTATTCATCAATTTTCTGGTGCTATTTCAATTCAAGCATTTTGGTTTGCAACATTTTCTCAGCAGTAATACTTGACTATTGTGACATAACAACATTCTATATATTGTTATCAATAATTAGTTTATGTGGTTGTGCTAGTTTCTTATTACTATCTGAACCAGAGAAGCCTATAGTTATCTAAAGCTCTAATTAATAATAACCACAGGTATGATTATTATTTTAATTTTAATAGCAACCGTTAAGATCATTCAAAGGAGATGTGCTAGGAGTATTATCACTTATTAGAGATAAAAGAATGATTCAATACATACCTTTGTGTTCAAGCCAAGCAATCACATTAGTCGGCTCTAGTGGAGTGTTATTCCCTCTAGTTTATAAAACTCTTGAAAATCAAGATATTTCTGCTAATGCCAAATTTTAACTCTGTATGTATTCAAGTCTACCACTTGGCTTTGGTGAGGTAATAGGATCATTAATAGCTGGACAGATCATTGATAAATTTGGTTTAAGATAAGCACTGTTGGGTTTTATTTTCACCATAGTATTAAGTTACTCAACTTTCTTCTACTTTATATTTTTATGGGAGTATGGATGGGTTAATTTTGCTCTTAGTTTTATTTGGGGAGTTTAAGAGAGTTTCGTTATTAATCTAAATCAACTGATCTGTGGTTTTGAATTCAAATCCAATATAATTCCTTTTTCTATACAGAAATTAGTTTAATCGATTATGACTTTTACACTTTTGCTGATTGCATCTTTATTAAATACTCAATTTGAAGTAACTATCTATTTGATTATAACGGGATGTTTTAAATTGATGGCTGCATTTTTGATGCTCAGATTCAAATTTATAAGTAAAAGTAGAAAATAATCAAACAAAGAAAATCTTGAATTATAGAAATCGGATAATTCTTAGAAGGTAGAGAAGAATATTGAAAACGAAATTGAAAGCGAAATGGCGCTTTTAGATAAAAATTAAAAATGATTGTAAATGACTTTTCATGATTATGCTTTCGGTTACTTATCAAAATTAATAAACGAAATTAATCTATAAGTTGAATAAGCCAATCTTTGTTGATGGGGTTTTGGGGTTTTGGGGAGATCG